AGTTGTTTGCAATAGCAGGCATGTCTTCCTAGAGCTTCCTTTATTGTTCACTTTAAGAAGGGACTGTACAGTTGCAGTCACTGTAATGTGATGAATACGTTACACATCACATTACAATGCATTTCCTTGTGGAAGTCAGGGCCTCAGGTTTGATCTCCATTTTCCTCACTCCCCTCAGTGAAGAAGCAGACAAGAGCAGGTTGTGCAGCAACAGCGTGCTTGAACTTTACAGTTTTGCTCTGGTGAAAAATTTATTTGTAGTTTTTGCTTCTTAGTAATTTACAGTTTGCATATTTTGTTGAGCTGTATAATCTAATGGACCAATTGTTATTGTAATTATTGTAGTTTAACCTCCGTTTAATTCAACATTTATTGAAATCCTATTTTGTGCTCCATGCTATCCTATTTTGTGCTCCAATAAAATGAGACATTATAAGCTTATTTCTTAGCATAGCATAAGCTTGTTATTTCTTAGCATAGCAGAAGCTTATAATGTCTCATTTTATTGTCAAAACACCCTCCTGGTTGTATGCCTAATTTAACTCACAGGCCCCGATAATTAACAAGCTCAGCTAGATGAAGCTACTTGGTCAAGGCCACATACATAGTGAATGATAGAGCTGGCATTTTTGATGACTTTAGATGCATCTTGAATGTTTGACATATAAATACAAAAGTGAGTATTTGAGACATTTGAAGACAATATTATGTTTACATATTCTGATTATAAGGAAATGCAGATATCATAGAAAACCATTTTAATATAATGGGAATAAAATGTGTGTCAGGAGATCTACAGAATAATTGTACTTTCAATACTAAATTTATGGAATTAAACTTTACCTCTAAAAAAATTACAATGAAATCTCATATGCCTTTCACCTTGATTCACCCAATGGTGACATTGACTTTGTCTCTCAAAAAGAAATCTAAAGAAATCTCTCTGACTTATCTATTAATATATGTAGATAATTTTTCTGTCTCTCTAGATATCTATAATTTATCTCTCTACATAATATGCAATGTTATATGTATTATTATTATTTTTTCTTATTCTCATCTGTGGGAGTAAATTGCAGAGAACCTGACACTTCTAGGCTAAGTACTTCAGCCTGTACTTGAATTCTTTCGATTCTAGAATACCTTTTGGAAAGGTAGCCTGCGTTCTCCAGAGGCTTCTCAACCCACAGTGGATCTTTTCCCTTCTCCCTTCTATTACCATGACACTTCTATACCTGCAGATAATAGATGAATATTAGAGAACAATTTTCAGTATATGATGATCATCAAAAAGTTACTGCAGGTTGTTGATCAAAAACCTTATAGCATAACCACTGTCTTTGAGGAAGAGTATTCTGACAGATAAGTGGTTGCAGTAGCATAGCACAGAGTAATAGGTTGCCAGATTATCCAGGCTTTTGTCCCTTACTCTCTTTTTCATTGGTAAAATATACATAAAAATTATTATTTTAATAGTTTTTAAGAATATTAAAATTGTGACATTAGTATATTCACGTTGTTGTGCAACCATCTCCAGAACATCATCATTATAAACTGAATCTCTACCTTTAAACAATGATTCTGCATTCCCTCCTCCCCCAGCCCATGGTAGTTACACTTCTAATTTCTGTCTTAATGTATCGTATTATTCTAGTACCTCATACAATATTTGTTCTTTTGTGCCTGGCATATTTCACTCGGCATAATGTCTTCAAAGTGATCCATGTTGTAGCATGTGTCATAATTTCATACATTTTTATGGCTGAATAATATCTCGTAGTTATATACAATGTTTTATTCATCTATTCATCTGTTGATAGTCATTTGAGTTGTTTTTATCTTTTGGCTATGGTGCATAATGATTCCATAAACACTGGTGTACAAATATCTGTGTGAGTCCGTGGCTTCAATTTTTTGGAGTGTATATATAGAAGTGGGATTTCTTCATCATATGTCGATTCTATGTTTAGTTTTCCAAGGAACTACCATACCGTTTTCCATAGTGACAGTACCAGTTTACATTCCCATGGACAGTGCGCACAGGTTCCAAATTCTGTACATCCTAGCTAACACCTGTTTGGGGTTTGGGTTTTTTTTTTTAAAACAAATAATAGTCATCCTAACAGGTGGGTCTAACATGTTACCTCATTGTAGTTTTGATTTCCATTCACCTAGGGATTAATGATGTTGAGCATGTTTTCATGTGCTTATTGGCTATTTGTTTTCATGTGTTTATCGGCCATTTCTTCTTTGGAGAAACATCTAGTCTGCTCTGCCCACTTTTGTTTATTTAAGTTCTGGGGTACATGTGCAGATCTTGCAGGACTCTTACATAGGTATACACATGCCATGGTGGTTTGCTGCCTCCATCCCCGCTGTCAACTACATTAGGTATTTCTCCTAATGTTATCCCTCTTCAACCTCCCCACTCCTTGCTATCCCTCCCCTAGCCCCCCCAGCCCCCAACAGCCCCCATTGTGTGATGTTCCCCTTCCTGTGTCCTTGTGTTCTCATTGTTCAACACCCACTTATGAGTGAGAACATGTGGTGTTTGATTTTCTATTCTTGTATCAGTTTGCTGAGAATGATGTTTTCCAGATTCACCTATGTCCCTGCAAAGGATATTAACTCATACTTTTTTATGGCTGCATAATATTCCATGGTGTATATGTGCCACATTTTCTTTATCCAGTCTATCTTTGATGGGTATTTGGATTGGTTCCAAGTCTTTGCTATTGTAAACAGTGCCTCAGTGAATATACATGTACATATATCTTTATAATAGATCAATTTATAATCTTTTGGGTATATAACAAGTAATGGGATTGCTGGGTCAAATGGTATTTCTAGTTCTAGATCCTTGAGGAATTGCCACACTGTCTCCCACAATGGTTGAACTAATTTACACTCCCACCAATAGTGTAAAAGCATTCACATTTCTTCACGTCCTCTCCAGCATCTGTTGTCTCCAGATTTTTTAATGATTGTCATTCTAACTGGCAGGAGATGGTATCTCAGTGTGGTTTTCATTTGCATTTCTCTAATGACCAGTGATGATGAGCATTTTTTCGTATGTTTGTTGGCCACATAAATGTCTTCTTTTGAAAAATGTCTGTTCATATCTTTCACCCACATTTTGATGGGGTTGTTTTTTTCTTGTATATTTATTTTAGTTCTTTGTAGATTCTGGATATAAGCTCTTTGTCAGATGAATAGATTGCAAAAATTTTTTCCCATTCTGTTGGTTGGCAGTTCACTCTAATGATAGTTTCTTTTGCTGTGCAGAAGCTCTGGAGTTTAATTAGATTCCATTTGTCTTTTTTAGCTTTTGTTGCCAATGCTTTTGGTGTTTTAGTCATGAAGTTCTTGCCTATCCTATGTCCTAAATAGTATTGCCTAGGTTTTTTTCTAGAGTTTTTATGGTGCTAGGTCTTATGTTTAAACCTTTAATCCATCTGGAGTTACTTTTTGTATAAGGTATAAGGAAGGGGTCCAGTTTCAGCTTTCTGCACATGGCTAGCCAGTTTTTCCAATACCATTTATTAAACAGGGAATCCTTTCCCCATTGCTTGTTTTTGTCAGGCTTGTCAAAGATCAGATGGTTGTTGATGTGTTGTGTTACTTCCAAGGCCCCTGTTCTGTTCACTTGGTCTATATCTCTGTTTTGGTACTAGTATCATGCTGTTTTGATTACTGTAGCCTTGTAGTATAGTTAGAAGTCAGGTAGCATGATGCCTCCAGCTCTGTTCTTTTTGCTTAGAATTACCTTGGCTATGTGGGCTCTTTTTTGGTTTCATATGAAGCTTAAGGTGTTTTTTTCCAGTTCTGTGAAGAAGGTCAATGGTAGCTTGATGGGGATAGCATTGAATCTATAAATTACTTTGGGCAATATTGCCATTTTTACAATATTGATTCTTTTTAACCATGAGCATGGAATTTTTTTCCATCTGTTTGTGTCCTCTCTTATTTCTTAATTTTTTTCTTCTGTTGTTGTTATTGAATTTTAGGAGTTCATTATGTGTTCTATGAGAAATATGATTTGCAAATATTTTTTATGCAGTTGATAGTGTTATTTGATGCACAAAATTCTTTAATTGTGATGAAGTGTGGTGTTTCTAATTTTTTTCACTTGCTTCCTCTGGTTTTGGTATCATACACAAGAAATTATTGTGTATGATACCAGAAATCATTGTTAGTGACATACCAGAAATCCAAGGTGGGCAAAACAGAGCCAGAAAATGTTGCTCTCACTCAAATTAGTGTGTTATAAATAAGGTCTTCTTTGCTCCCTCCACTTTAAGGGAGGGAATTGGGAACTAGACACCCACCTCCTGCAAACTAAGTCCATGTCACTGAGTGGAGTGGGTAGAATTAGCAAACAAAATGCCATGGAATCTCCTAAAATTTTGAATGTGCCTTTTAAAAGTATTGGGCATTTGCCTGGTTGCTGTAGACTTTTGACTGTTTTCCAGAGCTCCTATAAGATTTTAGCCATTTTTTAAGTTGTTTTGAGTTGTCTCCAAGGAAAAAAGGGCTTAGAACTTCCTAGCCTGCTATTTTACTCAATTGTTCAAGTTTGTAATCCTGGCTCTATGATTTCTACATGTACCCTTTGTAAGACTTAGGATATCATTTGCATATTTGTTGCTATAATAATCTCTAAGCTGCAGGTTTTTCTGTCAGTGAGGTCAGATACTTAAGGCATGCATCACAGGGCTTGGAGTATTAGTGGGCCCCCTATTATGGTAACAATTACTTGGACGTTAATATTACTACTGAAGTAAAACTTTAAAGAAGATAACACTCCATATCTCATCACTTATGTCATTACAGATTTAGGAAAGTGATAAAAGAAGCCTTCTCCCATCTGCTAATGCAAGATTACATGTTGTCCAATAGAAACACAGAAGTCTCATCAGTCCTATGTTGATGGGTGCTTGGGAAACAGTGAGACAAATAATGATATTGTACTTTATTTCTACTAGGAGGCTCTTCTAAGTTGGCAGTTGCCATGGAATCTGTACCCAAAATGTTGGCTCCCATTTGCCTGGTGGAAAACAACAAAGAGAAGCTGTCGGTGAACCAGCAAGCTATACAGATTCTTGACCAGATTTCTCAGCCAGTGGTGGTGGTGGCCATTGTTGGACTGTACCGTACAGGCAAATCCTACTTGATGAACCAACTGGCAGGACAGAATCATGGTGAGGTTGAGTGGTATCCTGGGACACAGACCAGTTGCTTGATCACAGCTATATCTCAGCTTCTTAATTCTCTACCCCAGGCACATGAAGCAAGACTCCAATTCCTTTCAATAAACCAACCTTCTCATTCTAATTCTTACCACCAAATCACTTACAATAATCTGTTCCCATATTTTTCCCTGCATTCCTATTAAGGAAACTCTCCATTATTAGTGCCCAGAATCCTACCTTCCCTTGTGTATTCAAGTCCCGGGCTACTGTAATTGTGTCTCCTTTCTCTTACAACATATTTTTCTTTCTTCATGTAATATTCCCATCAACATATGAAGTTGTTTTAATCTGTATAATCTTAAAAACCCTTCCCGAGTTTCACATCCTATCATGGCCACCAACTTCTGTTTTGTTTTTGTGTTTGTTTTAGTTTTTAATCACTTTTCAATGCAAAAAAATCTCAATTTCCCTGTTTGAATTTTTTCTTTTTTGCGTCTTTCTTCAACCCACTCCTCTCTAACTTTGAACCCCACCACTTTTTAAGATGCTCCTGTTTTCAGTGATCTCCATTTTGTCTGATTCATGGATTCCTCTTTGTCTCCATTTTGAGCCCTTGCTTGGCATCATTATCACACTTAAAGTCTCTTGCTTTCTGAAATAGATGACTCACAGAGAGAGCCATTCTTGAGGAAATACAGAAAGCATCATCTTGTATGCTGGGGGTAGTTACAATCCACCAGTCTGACGCTGCGGCCCCAAGGGCTGCTTGGCTGCTCTGCTGTCCCTGTGCTTAGCTTCCTCCTCTTCCCCGCAGGCTTCCCTCTGGGCTCCACGGTGCAGTCTGAAACCAAGGGCATCTGGATGTGGTGTGTGCCCCACCCCTTCAAGCCAAACCATACCCTGGTTCTTCTGGACACCGAGGGTCTGGGCGATGTGGAAAAGGTAAGACAGAAGTCATAGACACATTCTTTTATTCCAGACATGATCCTTGTAGTTTAACTGCTGTGATCTATTTGTGAAAACTAGAAATCCAACTATAGTGAATAAGGCAAACTTCCACCTGTTTGAATCACACTAGATAAGATTAGTTATCATGGTATATTAGGTAAAACATTCTTTTATTTCTTGGCACAGTGGTAAATGATTTGATTCAATTTGATAAAAGCTTGTTAAGCAGTTGAGTTCCAGGCTTCCGGGCTGAGTAGCATAGACATTGGTGAACAAAGTGAAGGTCCTACCCACAAAGATCTCTCGGTATCATAGATACCACGCATATCTTAATGTCCTCTGGGTTCATACAGGTTATTGCCAATGACACAATTTCCTTTTTGAAGGTGTAATAGTATTTCATCATGTAAAGATTTTATATTTTAAAAAATTCATTCATCTGTGATGGAAACAGGTTGACTCCATGTCTTGGCTATTGTGAATAGTATCACAATAAATATAAGATTGCAGATACCTCTTTGACATACTCATTTCATTTTCCTTGGATAGATACACAGTAATGGAATTTCTGGATCCAGTTTCTAGTTTTCTATTTAAGTCTTTAATCCATTTTGAATTGTTTTTGTGTATGGTGTATAATAGGATCAAATATTTCTCTTCTGCATGCATGTGGATATCCAGTTTTCCCAGGACCATTTATTGAAGAGACCATCCTTTCTCCAATGTGTGTTCTCAACACATTTGTCAAAACTGAGTTCACTGTGGATGTACACATTTATTTCTACATTGTGTATTCTGTTTCATTGATCTATATGTCTGTTTCTACACCAGTACTGTACTATTTTGACTACTGTGGCTTTGCAATATATATTGAAATCAAGAAATGTGATGCCTCCAGCTTTGTTCTTCTTGCTCATGATTACTTTGATTACTCAAGAAATTTTGTGATTCTGTGTTAATTTTCAGATTGTTTTTTATATTATTTAAGAATATTATTGGGGCCAGTTGTTGCCAATGACACGATTTCCTTTTTAAAGGCATAATAGTATTTCATTGTGTATAGATTTCACATTTTTAAAAATTCATTCATCTGTGAAGGAAATCTTCATGCCTTGGCTATTGTGAATAGTACAGCAAAAAAATATAAAATTGTGGAGGTGGCTAGAGGCTAAGAGTTAGAAACCACTGCGGGCATAAAAAGATAATAATAATAAACAAAATGCCTTTGGGATTTTTGTAGGTACTTTAAAGTCATCTATCAAACAATGATATACTCCTGTCTAAATAGTTTATTGTTTCTCACAAGTCCTACTTTAAGAAAAATTCTCATTGATTACTTTTATAAAAATTAGGGATTGAGGGACATAAAGTAATGAATAGGCTATTCTTCTTACCTCCAAAATCCCATATAGAATCTCTTAGAATCATGTAGAAATCTCTAGATCTCAGTTTTTATATTTGGTCTAGGAATGAGTTACATATGCTGTTTAGGGTAGAAATAATTCCTGGACTATTCTATAATTTAGACATGCCCTAATTTATAAAAACAAATTAACCTAACCTTTAGCTAAGTCTTAGTTATGTGGTGGAGCTCACAGAACTAATCAACCCCGTAAGTCCCAGTTATATGACAGAGTTCACAGCCCAGGTGCTGGACCTCCCTATTCAGTCTTATCTTCAGCACTTACCCTCTGCTCAGTCAAACCAATAAACTCTATTCTTGTTGCAGTGACTCCTGAAATCTACAATATCTAATTTTGTTTCTGTGGGTCTTTCTACTTGCAGAATCACCTTCATTTCTTCAAATCCACATTCCACCAATTCTTTAACATTCAGCTCATGACTTCCCAGAAGCATTCACATCACATACACTTTCTTCAATTTTCATAGCTCTTATCTTCCTGGATAGACTTGTAATTTTTAATTTAACATAGCTATGGGTTCCACTGCTTATGTACATTACTAAGATGTTATCTCTTTATAAATATTGTCATTTTTATTGAATTCATCATTATGAATGTTTGTCACAGCTTTGAAATAGTCACCTTGAGAGTAAATTTATTAAATTTGCTTTTCTAAACGTAAGAACAGTGAGAAATATTCTTCAGTTTCCTATAAGTGTTTGCTGAATTTAACTGAATATAATTAAAATCCTCAGTTATGTATACTATGGTATGGTTTTTTTACATGATGCATGGCCAATAAATAGGTGTAGACTGAAGGAGTGTTAACACCTATCATGCATATCCAACTGAGAGGCAGACATTGTGCTAGTTTTTCTATATATGCATCTTATTTTACCCCATTAAGGAAAAGGAAACCTCTATTAAAATTAGAATCCTTTTACATGTAAAGAAGTTGTGATTAGAAGGCTTATTGTAACTGTCAAACTGTTGTTTACATTCATGTCTATCTTCTTTGTATAGCAAATATACTAGCTGAAATCATAAATGAAAGACTAACAAAATAAATGTCTCAGTGAATTTCTAAAGGCTACACTCCTAAGTCCTTTGCTCTATTGTGCTTTTTAGGGTGACCCTAAGAATGACTCCTGGATCTTTGCCCTGGCCGTGCTCCTGTGCAGCTGCTTTGTCTACAACAGCATGAGCACTATCAACCACCAGGCCCTGGAGCAGCTGCAGTATCCTTCCAGGAAGAGAACAGAACCACCAAGTTTATTGACTTTATAGGAATGGAGTGCAAGTCATTTCCTCCTTCCCTTTTATTTAATTACCTTTGGTGCAGCATAGGGAACCCAAGACAAAAGAGAATGTTTATAATTTTTTTAATAAGAGAAATGTGTGAGTTGTGGGCAGGCCGTTGCTTTTCCTTAGCTAAGTCCTAGTTATGTGACGGAGCTCACAGAACTAATTAAGGCAAAGTCCTCCCCAAGGCCTGATGGAGTAGAAGATTCTACCGAGTTTGTGAGTTTCTTTCCAGATTTTATTTGGACTGTACGAGATTTCACTCTGGAGCTGAAGTTGAACGGTCATCCTATCACAGAAGATGAGTACCTGGAGAATGCCTTGAAGCTGACTCAAGGTATCAAAGTGTGGCCTGGACTGTGGGCAGTCCAATGGGTGTGTGATCTGCTAAACACTGCCTGTCATCTCTGGGGTTTCATTTGTATTTGAGACTAGATTTAGGTCTGTAGAAATGGGGGTTGGGAGATATGTTGAAGAGCTCTAGGAATGGAGTTTAGTTCACTTAAGAAGAATAGAGCCTAAAGTGCATATAGATTATTCAAGACAGATTTGTTCTTTGTACAATTAGTACCTTAGCATTCAGATTACAATGGGTGCTAAGACTTTCTAAAAACAAGATGTTCGTGATCCCTGTTTTGCCCTCTGCTTTTCCGTGTTTAGAAAATGATTGACCAGATAATTGTTAGACATTAAATTATAATGAAAAGCCTATGTAATAAAAATATATGTGTGTGTTTGCATTGTTATAAAGGAATACCTGAGCCTGGGTAATTTATTTTAAAAAGTTTATATGGCTCAGTTCTGCAGGCTGTGCAAGCATGGCACCAGCATCTTCTTCCAGTCAAGACCCCAGGAAGCTTTTACTAATGGTGGAAGGTTAAGGGTGAGCTGGTGTGTCACATGGTGAGAAAGGGAACAACAAAGTGGGGAAGGTCCCAGTCTTTTTAATAACCAGATCTTGTGTGAACTCATTACCGCAAGGTGGTACCAAGGCATTCATGCGAAATCTGCCCCTGTGACCCAAACACCTCCCACTAGGCCCACCTCCAGTATTGGAAGGTCACATTTCAACATGAGATTTGGAGGAGACACACATCCAAACTACATCAACATGCTACACAGATATTATTCTTCTCATGGAGGGATATAACTTTTTGGTACCCGTAGAGTTATGTCATCTACAAAAATGATTTTGTGTACTAAAGTAACCTGAAGAAACACACGTCTTTACAATCTGTGCCTTTTCAAAATTTCTGATAATTGTCAGAATATTCATTTTACTTTCTATGTTATGGTTTTTCTCTTAAATTTAACATATGTATCCATGCTATAATTTCATAATAATTGTTTTAATGGGTTACATTTATGTGTGTGTGTATCTGATAAAACCTTATGAAAAATATCAATTCCAGTGCACTCATTTTTGTTTTCATTTTTCTATTTATGCTTTCTTGAAACATTTATTAAAAATTCATAGGCAGAAGAACAATACTGTCAAATAGAATACAGTCTTTTGCTCCTAAAAGTTTATAGAGAAGTGATGATTATCTTAAAATTACATTCTTGGCTGGGCATGGTGACTCAAGCCTACAGTGTCAGCACTTTGGAAGGCAGAGGTGGAAAGATTACTTGAGTTCAGGAGTTTGAGACCAGCCTGGGTAACATAGTGAGACCTTGTCTCTATAAAAACTAGAACAAATCAGCTAGGTGTCATGGTGCACACTTGTAGTCCCAACTACTAAAGAGGCTAAGGTGGAAGGATCACTTGAGCCTGGGAAATCAAGGATGCAGTAAGCTATAACTGTGCCACGGCACTCTAGTCTGGGCAATGGAGCAAGACCTCATCTGGAAAAAAACAAAACAAAATTACATTCTTGTTACACTTAGTCTTCAGATGATTTTGCTAAAAAATAGCTAACACTATACAAATTCTTTTAGCATCAATGTAGTTTCCTTAAATAATCATGGTATCTTTTTCACGATCCCAATTTCTGGCTCTTTTTTTGGTCCCACAGCTCAGTTTCTACATGGAATGAAGTGGACCAGAAATTTACATTTGATATTTCATTAATTCAGCCATTCATTTAGTAAATATCTCATAAACAATACTTTATACTTGGCACTATGTTCAAGTCTACAGATACCAGCCATGGGTTTTGTTTGTACTTGGGTCGGATGTCTCCCAAAGTTTCCTGCCAGCATTTTGTCACTGGTACAAGTTTCATGTGCACAGAAGTATTGAATGTTTATGCTATAAGCATAGAAGACAGCAAAAAAGATGATAAACCCTGTCAAAAATAACTTTAGCTCCGTTTTACCAAGACTTTTTTCAATATATTCTCTGTTTTCTTTATCCCCCAGGCAAGAATCCCAAAATTCAAACATCCAATTTGCCCAGGGAATGCATCAGGCATTTCTTTCCAAAACGGAAATGTTTTGTCTTTGACCGGCCAACAAATGATAAAGACCTTCTAGCCAATATCGAGAAGGTGTCAGAAAAGCAACTGGATCCCAAATTCCAGGAACAAACAAATATTTTCTCTTCTTACATCTTCACGCATGCAAGGACCAAGACCCTCAGAGAGGGAATCATGGTGACTGGGAATCGTGAGTCTCCTTTTCACATTTCTGTGGGGCCTCATGTGTTGAATATATTGTATAATGTGTTTCTCAGGATTTTTGTTAGATTCCATATAGAACTATGTATATATAGGTATTCACACTCAATGAAGAAATGTGTATAATTATCTCACTTATTGCAGCTTACAAATTCCTCTCCAATATTGCAAACTCTGTCACTGATATCTGTAGCTTCCACAGATCTGAAAAATAATCCTTCACTGATAAAATATCTAACTGAATATAAAAACAGACATATAATATTTTCTTAGAGGAAGTCCTGTGTGTTCAGTATTCTTTGCAAAGTGAATACAAAAGATATATTGGAAGTTTAAAAGGCTCTGGAAGGCTGTGAGTGGTGGCTCACACCTGTAATCCCAGCACATTTGGAGGCAGAGGCAGGCAGACTGCTTGAGCTCAGGAGTTTGAGACCAGCCTGGACAACATGGTGAAACCCCATCTCTACAAAAAATACAAAAATTAGCAGGGAATGGTGGCATGCGCCTGCAGTCTCAGTTACTTAGGTGGCTGAGACAGGATAATTGCTTGAGCCCGGGAGGCGGAGGTTGCAGTGAGCCAAGATCACACCACTGCACTCCAGCGTGAGTGACAGAGCAAGACCCTGTCTCAAAAAGAAAAAAAAAGGTCTAGAAATAAATATTATCCATAAGTCCCTGAAAATCCATTGGTAGATTCAGAATTAGGAATAAATGTGATATGATTTACCCTGCCTCATCATTTTACTTGTGTAAACTACTTTCCTTGCCATTTGTTTAAATGAGAAATAGTATTTCCCATCTACCCTCTAGTGTGTTACGTAAAAGTAGATATTAAAATTTTTAGCACTGGTGACTGGAGATCCATAAACATGAAGAGTCAGTATGAAAATGCAAGTGATAATAGCAGAAGGAGGTAGGGGTGTGGGTGTGTGTGTTTGCATGTGTGCATGTGCACATGAGTGTGCTCAGAAATGTAGCCTAGGATCCCACTGAGCTTTAATTTCCTATTACCCCCTACATCTCCTGGTTCATTTAGGTCTGGGAACTCTGGCAGTGACTTATGTAGATGCCATCAACAGTGGAACGGTACCTTGTCTGGAGAATGCAGTGACAACTCTGGCCCAGCAGGAGAACTCAGCAGCCGTGCAGAGGGCAGCCGACCACTATAGCCAGCAGATGGCCCAGCGGGTGAGGTTCCCCACAGACACACTCCAGGAGCTGCTGGATGTGCACACGGCCTGTGAGAGGGAAGCCATTGCCATCTTCATGGAGCACTCCTTCAAGGATGAAAACCAGGAATTCCAGAAGAAGCTCGTGGTAATTTGTCTTAGTCATTACTGTTCATGATCCTTCCCCTTGAAGAATGAAGCCTATAGTTGCCTTTATTGACACCAGTGCTCATCTGTCACTGAGGAATAACATCGTGGATTATCATGAGGGATAGAGTTTCAAACGACTACATATCTCTTTACCTCCCCAAACCTTAAGCATTCAACCGGAAAACCTTCTGATAACTGAGGTAAAATCAATACAGATCACTTAAGATCTTCCTTAAGTGAATAATTCTAAGGATTCCAGGCCTGCTCTGAACACCCACAAGTCATTCCTGAGCAGTGCACTTTTCCTGTGCAGAGTCCACCTTTCCCAGGAAACAAAGATCCTCTTACCAGATCTTCATACCGGACCATTGTTCAACTTACACTGCTCTTTCTTGAATCCTTGTGCCATTGAGGACAGGCACACAGGATGCTACAGTTGCAGCAAACCATGGAGATTATGGAATGTAGTCCCATCATGTCACAGATGAGGAACCTGAAGCTCAGGAAGGTTAATGAACTTTTCCATAGTCTTGAAGAGAATTTTTAGCATTGTGAATATATCAAGTTTTGTGTGTCTGATTCCACATCTACTCCACTAGAAGGTTTTTCTCATGAGGACCACAGTTAGATTGACCCTTCTACCAGGTTCTTTAGAATTTCATCTCCTCCATTTGTTTCTTTTGGTGACATCTCTCTACATTTTCCTTGCAGGAAATCACAATGAATAAGAAGGGGGATTTCTTGCTGCAGAATGAAGAGTCATCTGTTCAATACTGCCAGGCCAAACTCAATGAGCTCTCAAAGGCCCTAATGGAAAGTATTTCAGCAGGAAGTTTCTCTGTTCCTGGAGGGTACAAGCTCTACATGGAAACAAAGGAAAGGGTTGAACAGGACTATTGGCAAGTGCCCAGGAAAGGAGTAAAGGTGAGGAATAAGGAGAGCATGGGTAAGTTTATAGGAAAGAGTGAATGGAGGCTTCAGCACCAGCCGTGAGTAGTAACTAGAGAGCCGAGGGACAGTATAACACCTTAGCTTTCAGTGCCAACTACTTATCATTTATTTCTGAGAATAAAAATTTTTATCCCTAGACAAAGAGTATGGTATTCAGAAATCCAGGAGAAATAGAATAAGAATTAGTGCCAAGAGCCGGTGATTTGCATGGTAAAATATAATCTTTGTATTCAAAGCTGATCAAAATGAGAGAGAGCGAAATAAATAGACAATTACATACAGAGTAATGACACTTATGGACCTCTGAAAATAAGCTACTTAGGTGGTGGTAAGAAACATAATAGTAGTAATAATACAGCTAACTCACAATGAGCTGCTATTACCTACAGTATATTGTTAAAGTCTTTCCCAGGCCTTTCAATTTAATCCTCCTAATGACTTTAAGAAGCACCCTTATTTTGAAAATTTTACAGAACTGAACTTAGTACCCAAGAAAGATTACACAACTCACCTAAAGTTCTAGCCAGCAGGTGCCAGAAGAAAGCAACAGCACAGATTAGAGGCAGCATTGCACACTGGAAGACAAACATGTAAAAGCATCAGAGATTGGGAGTTTGTACACCTGTACACATAGTTCTGCCTGGCTGGAACCCAGAGCAGGTACAGGGAGATATTAGAGCAGTGGGAGAGGCACTGGAGGGAGACGGGAAGCAGGAGATGAGGAGGGGCTCTGGCCACACTAAGGAGGCTGCAACACTTCATAGGGGGCCACATTGTAATTTTAGACATAAAGCAAAAGTTACAAGACCATATTTGTTTTTGCAACACTAATACCTGGAATATCGATTTTCAAAGAAATCAAGTGTTTTTTCTTGCTTCCACAGGCAAAAGAGGTCTTCCAGAGATTCCTGGAGTCACAGGTGGTGATAGAGAAATCCATCTTACAGTCAGATAAAGCCCTCACTAATAAAGAGAAGGCAGTAGCAGGTATGTGGCAGGGCTCAGCTGGCAGCAGGATGGGTAGGTTTCTACAATGTCATCTGACAGATTTAACAGGAAATCCTTCATAAAATGAGGAATTGCCTCCTCTGTGGAACACACACTCTGCTAAATCTGAAAATCACAAGGAGGGCTGTGATGGTACATCAGCCAGACAGGCAGAGCCTTTCCCATCACATTCTCAAATGTGCTCTTAATGTGTGCACCTTAATGTGCTCCTAATGGTGTGGACCTGGGTAAATTCTGTGATTTCTCACCCTGCCTTTCAGATTTGGTTTAGTCTCTCGGCACAGAAAGGTAGAGATGGGTCTTCATCTATTATTTTCTTCTCTTTCTAAAACCTTCATGGAGCAGTGGATCGGGCCAAGAAGGAGGCAGCTGAGAAGGAACAGGAGCTTTTAAAACAGAAACTGCAGGAGCAGCAGCAACAGATGGAGGCTCAAGAGAAGAGTCTCAAGGAAAACATAGCCCAGCTGAAAGAGAAGCTGCAGATGGAAAGAGAACACATACTGAGAGAGCAGAATATGATGCTGGAGCACAAGCTGAAGGTAAGTCAGCCCATGGCCTCAGCAGGCCAGGCGGTCCTTGCCCAGGCACCTCAGGAAGGGCTGGTGAAGGTCACGGCAACATCATGGAAGGAAGCACAACACCATTTGCTACTTGGAAGTCACTAAAAGCCCTGCATCTTTTTTTTTTTTTTTTTTTAATATTGTTTCAGTAAGACTTGGAATTCTTCTCTATACTTAGATTCTGGAGAGTTCAGTTTGACTATGACCTAAAACTCCTTGGGGAATATAAATAGGGTTGGAGCTGCTGTTTTGGGAGATTTTAAAGGTAATCTCAAGAAGTTGAACAGATATTCCACACGGTGTAGTTGATATGAGCAGCAGCTGTTTGCTTTACCAAGACCACATATTACTAGGAGCTCTACTACCACCCAAACACCCTGAGGTACCTCCATGCTGACATACAGCTATGAGAAATTTCCAAGCTTAAAAGGACAGGAAAGGGACAGTTTCTAAACTTGCTGCAGTTGTTTCTATGTGTGTGGATAGCCTACCCAAATTAGCACACAGTGTAGGGAGAATTCTTGCCTTGTCCATCTGGAAGTTCTCTTATAAGGGATTTCTACATCAGCTTATAAGTTCCTGTTATTTCTATAATATGGTGACCGTGCTGCCCAATTGGTGCTGAGAATTTATGCAATCAGACCAATGGCTACCTCCCAACTGGCATTTTTTTGGGCAGAAACATAGAATTTGTCCTCATACTTGAGTTAGCACCACAGCAAAACCATAACAGTGGATGAATATTAGTAAAGTTGTAAACTATGCTTCCTCACAATGTCGAGGTCCAATTTCTCCTCTAATAATTGAGAGAATGTTTTTAAGAGTAAAATTTAAAAAGTTCCACACAGGTCTTAAATACAAAATGTAAGTCTTAATAGAATGGGGATTTTTAAAAATTTACTTTTCTTCCTACATTTTTTAGGTCCAAAAAGACTTGCTTGATGAAGGATTTAGGAAGAAATCTGAGGAGATGAATGCAGAGATAAGTCAATTGAAACATGTGATCGATACTACAAAAAATGATGATACTCCCTGGATTGCACGAACCCTGGACAAACTTGGGGATGAGCTAACTTCAATATTGTCTGCTCCTGCTAAATTAATTGGTCAGGTTGTCAAAGGTGTGAGCTCATTATTTAAAAAGCATAAGCTCCTCTTTTAAGGACATTATAAAGTTTCTCACCCTGCCTTTCAGATCTGTTTTAGTCTCTGAGCACAGAAGGGTAGAGATAACCCTCACCTATTATTTTCTTCTCTTTCTAAAACCTTCACGGAGCAGTGGATCAGGCCAAGAAGGAGGAAGCTTACTACATATATGTTTTGGCCAATTTTTGATCTGTATGTTTTTTATTTTCATTCAGCAAAGTTTTTTTTTGTTTTTAGTTTTTTGTTTTTGAGACAAAGTCTCACTCTGTCACCCAGGCTGGAGCGCAGTGATGCAATCTCAGCTCACTGCAACCTCCACCTCCTGGGTTCAAGAGATTCTCCTGTCTCAGCCTCCCTAGTAGCTGAGATTATAGGTGCATTTCACCACACCTGGTTAATTTTTGCATTTTTTGTAGAGATGGGATTTTACTATATTAGCCAGGCTGGTCTGAAACTTCTGACCTCAAATGATACACCAGCCTCGGCCTTCCAAATTGCTGGGATTACAGACATGAGCCACTGCGCCTGGCCCTCATTCAGCAAAATTTTAAACATAAAAAGTGCTTATTAGAGGATATTAGTGTCTGGCCCACATTAGATAGAACAGGTGCATACACACTTTGAAAAACCGTGTTTACTTTTAGGAAATATAATTTTGAAAAATCATTTATATACAAGAGGTCCACTGAGTCATTGCTTTTAGTGGCAAAATATGAGAATGTACTTGAATGTCCTTCACATAAGATTTGTAAGATAAATTTTAGTGTGTGTATGAACTGGAATATTCTATAGCCAGTAAACAAATTGACAGTGAAGCTCTATTTGTACTAGTAAAGAATGGTCTTGAAGAGATATTGTAAAATGAAAAGAAAAGTTTGTAAAGCAATGTAGAATATCTTATCACCAAGAAAAAAAATGCAATTATTATATATAAGCATGCACATATATCTCTGGAAAGATGAATGAAAGTCTACTATGATTGGCTCCTTCTGGGAAGAACCAGGTGAATGTAGGGGTTGAAGGAACACATACTCTTCATTTTATAGTCTATCTTCTTTTGAATTTTGTAAAGAAATCTTATTTTATCTATTCAGAAATAAAATGTAAGAGACAACACTGATAATGAAAACAATAAAAAATAGTGAAATTGACTATCAGATGATGAAATTGCTTCTTGCTTCTAGGAATTACATCAGCCAGCTAAACGAGGGGTCTAAGACTAAAATCTGAATACTAGAATGCATAAAATTTGCATCCTATTCTTGTTTTCATTTTGGCCTGGTTTTTCAATCCCTTCTATTTGTTTCATGACTAAGACATACACTTTTTTGTGGCCTTTGAAATCTCAGCTGCTGTAGCCTCTATTTCCTATCCCTGAATTTCAGTTTTAAGGTGTTAGATGCACAAGTGTACCAAACATTAAGATTAAGCACTGATAAGAGGGATTCTGCCAACCTTGTAAAGTCAGTAGTGGTCTCTTTGTGGTAGGCTCATTTGGAAAGGATAGTGTGCCTTTCCAGAACTGAACCCCTTGATGGGGGATGATAGATCCAGACTCAGAGAGGCCTGGTGTTGACCCTTAATTGTTGAATCTAAGTAGATTCAGTTATAGTAATGAGTGGCAGGCAGCTAGGCCTGACTGAGAGAATTCTGAAGATGGTCACTGCAGTGGACCAGCCATAGGGTTAAATGGGATGTGGAGAAAATAATCAAGTGAAATAATACCTCTCAACCAGGAAGTTGAGAGGTAGCCCCGATAAAGTGTCACATCCATAGCCTTGATCTGAGCTAATTTCAGACCCTGAACTGAGCTGAGTGGAGGACAGTATCCCAGGAAAAGGACACTGCAACTCCAGGACACAAATACATGATAATGATTTCCCCCATTCTCCTCCTAGGAAACCCCTGGGGCCATTTACTAGATAGTCATATACTAGGGAAATACAAATACCCAAACATTTCAAGGACTCTTGGAATCAGGATTCAAGTTGCCCATGGTACCCAGTTCATGGAAAGTCATCATAAACTACCTGTTAAAATAGGGAGATAGGGCATCCAGGAAATAAATATAGTCTTGGCCCAAGTGCAACTTTTTGCAATATAGTATTTGTTTCAAATTAAAAGTAAAGTTTGTTTGACGACCAATACCTTACTTATTTTCTGTACATCCCCTCAGGAGTATGTTCAGGCATAGGATGTGTTAAATAAGCTTCTCTTATAAACATAAAACAATAGGAAGGGGTTGGGCGCTGTGGCTCACGCCTGTAATCTCAGTACTTTGGGAAACCGAGACAGGCAGATCACAAGGTCAGGAGATTGAGACCATCTTGGCTAACACAGTGAAACCCCATCTCTACAAAAATACAAAAATTAGCCGGGTGTGGTGGCACATGCCTGTAGTTCCAACTACTCAGGAGGCTGAGACAGTAGAATCACTTGAACCCAGAAGGCAGTGGTTGTAGTGAGCTGAGATTGCGCCACTGCAGTCCAGCCTGGATGACAGAGTGAGACTCCATCTAAAAAAAAAAAAAAAAAAAAATGGGTAACGCATGAATGATAATATTTCCAATTGGTAGAATCTCATGAAATTTCCAGAGATCTGTGATAACAGGTAGTTTGAATTTTCGACACCAGGTTAAGGTCTCTGAGGTGGTTTAAAGGCTATAAGGCCAGGCACAGTGGCTCAAGCCTATATTCTCAGCATTTTGGGAGGATGAGGCAGGCGGATCACTTGAGGTCAGGAGTTCGAGACCAGCCTGGCCAATATGACAAAACCCTGCCTCTACTAAAAATACAAAAATTAGCCAAGTGTGGTGGCACATGCCTGTAATCCTAGCTACTCAGAAGGCTGAGGCAGGAGAATCACTTGAACCCGGGAGGCAGAGGTTGCAGTGAGTCAAGATCATGCGACTGCACTCTAGCCTGGGCGACAGATCCCAGGTGACAGAGCAAGGCTCTGTCTCAAAAAAATAAAATAAAAAAAAATAAAGGCTATGAGAAGAAAAGAAACTTACCTAGTACAGTGTCCTTCTTTAGACCTCATGTCTCACAATCTCTGTAAAACTGAGTCAAAGATAGAATTTTTTTCTATGCTTTATATGGTGACTGAGACAAATCTATGACCTTACACAAATCTGTAACTTCATGTATCACAGTCTCTATAAAACTGTATCAAAGAAAGAATTTTTCTCTGTGCTTTACAGAGAGGCTCACCCAGATCTGTAAAGAAATTAGAACAATTTTAGACCTTTCAGTATCCTGTATTTTATATCTGGTCAAATCTGATACTTTCAAAACTGGATAGATCTATTTCAGATATCTTTGATGGTTTTAACAAGAATCTCATTCAATGTTATCTGAAGACTATAGTTCAAGAAAACTAAAACACTATTCAGTTAGGGCACAATAAGACCACCTTATAATCACCAGTTATCCTTCCTTTACTGATCATGCTTTTGCCATGTTTCAGTGGTTCAGAGACATTCTAGTGAATGCCATTTTGATAACAATGTGGGATCAAGAGACCCCAACACCATCCTCAGGCTCAATGACTCTTTAGGAGACATGGAACTCAGAAAAATTTTATGCTCACAGTTACAACGTACTACATTAAACAGCTACAAATTGAAACCAACAAAAGCAAAAGGGACATGGACCAGAGTCTGAGACCAAGCATAGGCTTGCACTTGTGTTCTCCCTTGGGAGTTGCACAGACATTACCTAATTCTCCCACTAACAATGTGTGACACATGTCAATTAGGGATGGTCACACAAACTTTAGTGCCTGGTGTTTTTATTAGAGGGCAGTCACTTAGGAAAGGAGTGCTCATGTGGCTGATCTTATTTACTCAGACTCCTGACCCTTCAGAGGTCAAACTGGTAAGGCATATCCTAAGACTTCCACCATAAATCACATTTTTAGCAGAAAGTATCTGGTATAGTCCAAGCCCTCGACATGTCCAAAACATTCTTATAAGGCAGGTTGTTCTAAGGGCTTATTGGTTATATTCCAGGAATCAGTTGAGGGCCAGACCTTTCTTACAAAATTAACCTTTTATTAGACTGTGTGAAAGAATGAAGAAGGTGACAACCTGACAAAGACAAAATAAAGATTTTTATTGTCTTACTAGAAGAATATGTCTATTTTTTTCCTTGACTTTTTCAAGTATAAATATTCTTTCTCTGAAAGATGTAACTATCTAGTCTCTAGCAAAATATGCTGGAAGTATATGTTTTTAAAAGTAGTTTATTTTATTTCATTGTTATTCTGTGCTTAGAAACTTCCAATCTGATTACAGTGACCTTTGAACAACGTGGGTCTGAACTTTGAGTTCACTTAACATGGATTTTTTTCAACTAAACACAGTATGAAGATACATTATTTGAGGAATGTGAGACCCACATATATGGAAGGCCATCTTTTGGTATACATGAATTCTGCTAGACTTGGGTATGCAAGGAGTTTGCATGGATTACCCACAGAGTTCCTAGAACCAAGTCTCTATGTATACTGAGGGATGACTGTAATTATTTTTCTTTATATAGGACAGAAAATGTATTTAATAAGGAATATATACATATATATATATGGGACCCTTAGAAAGTTATAGCACTGATTGTAACCTGGATATGGTACAAATTTCATGGTACTAATTGGCCTAAAATCACTTGATCCAACATTGGGCCTAAATTTCCTTAATGTGTTCAAGCTCAAGCTGCTGGAGTTTTTCAAGGAATAAAATAATGAAAATAAATTATCAATCACCTTTTAACAACCAAAAATCACTACTGAAACAGGCTGTGATCAAGTCTTACATAAAAATTGACATCAAATTTCTAGGTTGATTCCCACCTCCTACTGAATCTTCTACCACCAATATCATGCTCTGTCACCTCAAATCAGTTTTAAGACATCCTTCAGGGACTCATCTTTAGTAATGAGGCATTCAACTATCTTCAGTTATAGCCTGAAATCCCACACAATTTAAACTAAGCTAAAAAGAAATTCATACACTCAGTGGAGTTCTCTACTTCCCCAGGTCTAAGTGAGGACAGT